GTAGTGGTGGCAGTCTGCTACTACATCCACAGTTACTGCAGCGTAGAGTCAGGTCTATGAAATAATGTAAAATGTTGGATAGTATTTTAATTCTTTATTGTTGCAAATCATTTACATTATAAGAGTAATTCTTCCTCAAGTTGCCGGCTTGTTTCTGCTGGTGACTTTGGGCGAATCTAATTACCTGAAAAAGAATAGAAAAAATTTCAGTTAAATTCAAATTATCTCAGAGTTCAACTCAAACATGTTCTGTTCCATCTGTATCACTGTGACGCCAGCTCATCGAATGAACTTTTTATGTTACAGGTGGTCAGCATCAAGTCTAGGCACATCCCTTTGGACAAGAACCAGCTTCACTTCCTATTTTACTACGACTGTACCATACAAATGAAATAAATAGCAGCATTACTGTAAATTACACTCTGATGATTTGCCTCTCCCGATTCCCTCCACTACAATCGACACACGGCTACAGATTTTAGGATCAATTAATAAGCCGTATATGGAGGTCACAAAGAGACAGTAAAGACATGACAAGAAACCCCGCAATAGAAACAAATACCAAGTTAAACTTTTACCTAACATGACTCTAACATATGTATGTATTGATATTTTTTGTAACTTTACATTACATAATATAAAAAGGCAAAACATACCTGATTCATTCCTGTGATCATGAGAAAAAGGGACCATTTCTCATGCTGTGTGCTGCGGGGTCAACTACATCAGGTGACACACAGGCTGCTTTGCTGATGTCGAGGACAGGTACACCTCCAGGCCGATCTTTCTGCAACAAACCAAAGAGTTGATTTTAGTCAAAGAAACAGGATGTAAAGGAGTCAAGAAGCACGCAATTTCGACAGAGGACGTCTAAGGCGACTTTCCCAGAGCAATCCCAACCATTTCCAGCAATTTTCAAATTTTTCATTTTTGGCAAAATTTAGAAAGGCTTATAGCCTTCCTGTTTTTAGCAAAAATTAATGGGTCCGGATTTCGACGGAAAAGTAGTCGAATCGACAGGGGTGACCCACGGGACCACAACACTACTTTTGGTCCCGTCAGAAAACACCCCTGTCCGTCCAGAGAAACTTGCATTTTAAGAGGTGGCCTTTTGAATCTGGCGGGCAGCGTACGATGGGCTGCCTACCACGCAGGCGAGCCGGTCCAAGATAAAACAGGCGTAACTCACTTAAAATGGCCCGGCTGCGTGAAATTTCGACGAAGAGATTGAAAGGGGATGCGATTTTATTTTTTTTCATTTGTGGCCAAATTTACAAAGACTATAAATTGCAGGGTCCGGATTTCGCCGGAGGAGTATTCGAATTCGAACCGGCAAGGATGAACCAGGGACCACAAAACTACCTTTGCTTCTGTCAGAAGCCACCCCTGTTCACAGAAACTTAAGTTTTAAGAGCTGGTCTCTCTAATGAGTGGGTAGGCTACCTAAGGCCTAAGGCACACTAGCTAAGAACTTTGCTGTTGTGGGTCGGCACCATGATATTGGACTGAAGCAAGTGAAAGGGGAGTTTGCCTGACCAATCCAAACCAATTCCAGCAATTTTCCAAGTTGTCAAGATTTTTAAAAGACATTTTCAATGATAACAAATCAGCCTGGATTTTGACAGAGGAGGATTGAAATTGACA